AGCCTCACATTTCTGCATGTTCAGTCACATCACAAATATAGACCATCACCCCTTCTTCTTATACCCTTATCCCTACTCTGGTCTGTTCTCCCTCTAATCTTGGTTTTCCACTGATCCCTCTTCTATCCAAAACATTCTACTTGTTGCTTTTTTCTATGAAACTCAGCTTCCAGGTTAATCATCTCCCTTGGATCCCTGGTCCTTTAATCCACTGCTTCCATTGCCTCTCATCTTTGGTACGTGATGCTTAACAAATGTTTGCTGAATAAAACAAAGAACCAAGACCTGACTCTCCTGGAGGCCATTATTTCGCCCTGTGGCTTCCCAAGAACTGCTTTTTCTCCTACTTTACATATGCACAAAGATCAGGAGGGGACTTCTCACTCCCCATTTTCCTTCCAGGCCATTCCATCTCTATTTCATCACTAATAAGTCCAAAATTTTAATATAGGAGTGTTGAGGGTAAAAATCGGGTTAGAAAGGAGGAGTGCTTCATGGGTTTGCCCCTAAGCTCCACTAGTATCACAGGGAGATTGTTGTTTAGTCACTAAGTTATGTCCAACTCTTTGCTACCCCATGGACTGCAGCACTCCAGGCTCCTCTGTCCTACACTATCTCCTGAAGTTTGCGCAGATTCACTTCCACTGAGTCAGTGATGCTATCTAGCCATTGTTGTTACTGAAATGTTTATTCTTCCTAGTTTTAGGGGTAGGAGCCACACGGCCTCTATTGGTGACCCTAAGCACACCTTTAGACAACCTCTGATACTACCATGGGCTTCTATGTGAGAAGCCCTGTTCCTTTATTGCTTAAACTGTTCTCTCTACATCTTGTCCTCCTCTTCACTTTTGGAATCCTACCCATCTTTGACTCCACAGCCTGTCATATCAGCCACGTTTATCTAGTAGTCAAAATTGTCATATTTTCTATACCTGCACAGCTACGCCTTGTCCTTCATCTGATGGCTCTCACCTATCCCTTTGACTGGCATAATCATGGAACTTTAGTTCTTTTGCTGACTTAAAGGTACCCTGTGGCCTCAGGATAACATTTAACCTGTCCCTTCATACGAAGTCATCCCTTTGTATCTTCAGATGCAGACCCCACAGATATGGAGGGACGACTGTCATCCATTTCTAATCTGACTTCTGTCTTCCTCTTCAGACACATTTTTCATGATTTCCCTTCCTATTCTTTGTACTTCAACCATGGTGAATTCTTTGCAGTCCCAGCCTTTCACTTGTTTTAGCACATACTCACATCTAGAATGCCAGAAGCCCATAATTTATCAAGAGGGACTCTGGAGAAGTGTTACAGGACCAGTTCAGTTCAGTTCAGTTGCTCAGTCATGTCTGACTCTTTGCAACCCCAAGGACTTCAGCACGCCAGGCTTCCCTGTCCATTAACAACTCCCAGAACTTGCTCAAACTCATGTCCATCGAGCCAGTGATGCCATCCAACCATCTCATCCTCTGTCATCCCCTTCTCCTCCTGCCTTCAGTCTTTCCCAGCATCAGCATATTTTCCAATGAGTCAGTTCTTCGCATAAGGTGGCCAAAGTATTAAACTTCAGATTCAGCATCAGTCTTCCAATGAACAGTCAGGACTGATTTCCTTTAGGATTGACTGGTTGGATCTCCTAGCTGTCCAAGGGACTCTCCAGAGTCTTCTCCAACACCACAGTTCAAAAGCATCAGTTCTTCAGTGCTCAGCTTTCTTTATAGTCCAACTCTCATATCCATACATGACCACTGGAAAAACCATAGCTTTGACTATACGGACCTTTACTGGCAAAGTAATGTCTCTGCTTTTTAATACGCTGTCTAGGTTGGTCATAGCTTTTCTTCCAAGGAGCAAGTGTCTTTTAATCTCATGGCTGTAGTCAATATCTGCAGTGATTTTGAAGCCCAAGAAAATAAAGTCTGTCACTGTTTCCATTGTTTCCCCATCTATTTGCTGCAAAGTGATGGGACCTGATGCCATCATCTTCAATTTTTGAATGTTGAGTTTTAAGCCAGCTTTTTCACTCTCCACTTTCACCTTCATCAAGAGACTCTTTAGTTCCTCTTCTCTTTCTGCCATAAGGGTAGTGTCATCTGCATATCTGAGGTTACTGATATTTCTCCCGGCAATCTTGATTCCAGCTTTGTGCTTCATCCAGTCCAGCATTTCTCATGGGGTACTCTGTATATAAGTTAGATAAGCAAGGTGACAGTATATAGCCTTGATGTACTCCTTTCCCAATTTGGAACTAGTTCATCATTCTATGTCTGGTTTTAACTGTTGCTTCTTGGCCTGCATACAGATTTCTCAGGAGGCAGGTTAGATTGTATTTCCATCTCTTGAAGAATTTTCCAATTTGTTGTGATCCACACAGTTAAAGGCTTTAGTGTAGTCAATGAAGCAGAAGTAGATGTTTTTCTGGAATTCTCTTGCTTTTTGTGTGATTCAACGGATGTTGGCAATATGATCTCTGACTCCTCTGCCTTTTCTGAATCCAGCTTGAAAATCTGGAATTTCTCGGTTCACATACTGTTGAACCCTCACTTAGAGAATTTTGAGCATTACTTTACTAGCATGTGAGATGAGTGCAATTGTGCAGTAGTTTGAACATTCTTTGGCATTTCCTTTCTTTGGGATTGGAATGAAAACTGACCTTTTTCAGTCCTGTGGCCACTGCTGAGTTTTCCAAATTTCCTGGCTTATTGAATGTAGCAAAGTGAACTTGAGTGTTACAGTACCTGCAATTGATTGTTACAGGTGCTGACTTGGAATCAGACAGAAAAAGTTTTGAATCCCAGATTTGTGATTTACTAGCTTGAGTGCATAGGTAAGTAAGCTCCTTAACTTTTATGACCCTCCATGACCACATCTTCTAAGTGGAATAACAACTTAGTGTGGATGAAACCTGCCACATCAGTAAACAAGGATGTTCAGACACCAAGCCATCAAGCAGAGCAGTCACCCCCAATTGTGCACCCTTAGGGATTCAGGATGGAAGAAAAAAACAGGATACTGACCCTAGATAGTTAAAGTGTATATCAAAGGAACTGTTTCAATAAGTCCAAACTCTTGTCTTTCTATACATAGAAAAATGCTAAATTCATTAACTTGAGAGGCCTGAGTTTTTTCTTCAATTAACGGTAATCTTTTTTTTTTCTTTTTTTTTTCCATTTATTTTTATTAGTTGGAGGCCAATTACTTTACAATATTGTAGTGGTTTTTGCCATACATTGACATGAATCTGCCATGGATTTACATGTAATCTTTTAATGTTCCCATTTCATGTTTTCCACTTAATGTTTGTGTGGGATTCATAACAGCCTGGATATAGGCAAACAGTATAAGCCAAAATATGGACAGCATCAGTGCCATATAATGTTTGCTCTTCCATAGAAAGTCCATAGCCTGACCTCCCTTCCTGACCACTGAGGCAGCCTCAGAGAGACACAAGGTAGAAACAAGGTTATATAACAAATTGCTAGCATGTTAGAATGCTTTGGAGCTCTTTGGAAAAGACCCTGATGCTGGAAAAGATTGAGGGCAGGAGGAGAAGGGGGCAACAGAGGATGAGAAGGTTGCATGGCATCATCTACTTGACAGACGTGAGTTTGAACAAACTCTAGGAGATACTGAAGGATAGCGAAGCCTGGTGTGCTACAATCCAAGGGGTCACAAAGAGTAAGACACCACTTAGCGAACAACAACAAGGAGACCTTGAATTATCAGTGGGTGGTCATGGAAAAGGCACAGTTTAATATGGGCTTTGTAGGATTAATAGGATTTTAAGAGACATTCTTTGCAGGGAAATAGCGAATCATTTGGATACCATACAATTGAGGGAGTGCAGTGAGCCTGTGAAGTGAGTGAATGTTAAGACTTTATGGGAATTATGACTGGAACATTTTGCCTTTTCTCATGTATGCGTTTTAGTGTTGCTTATTGAAGGATGAACATGTTAACTTAGCAGAATTGCTTACACAGTGCATTTTAAAGCAGTATTTCCCAAAGTGCTTCTTTGTAAAATTAGTCTCATGGAATGCTCTGTAGAAAAATAATAAACGATAGTAGTAATTTAAAGAAATGTTGAATATTCTTTTTGTCTCCCTCGAATATTCACAGTGTGCGTTAACTTATTTTGAAAGGTTCAAAATAGTGTTATAATACCAAAGCCTGACTTCCCTGGGAAAGTAGGCCTTTCCTATTTATGTGACTATAACATCTCACTATTTCCCCTCAACGCATGTTTAGAGTCTGTAACTATATTATATATTTATTTAAAATATTTTGTTGACTGCTTCCCCACCAGGATATATGCTCCATGAGGACAAATATCTGTCCTATCTTGTTTACCGTTGTACACCAATAATCTAGCACAATGTCTGGGTGTTTAACGGGTGCTCAAAATAGGAATAAATGATGAATAAAATGTGCTTGCTTTTGACTTCAAATTGTCTACACAGTTAATAAGGGTAGGGTTGGAATTTGAACCAAATACTGCCAGATTCCAGTCTTTTTTACAATAATTAATCAATCATTTTTGGCTGTGCTGGGTTTTTGTTGCTGCACAGGTTTTTCTCTAGTTGTGGTGAGTGGGGGCTACTCTCTAGTTGTGGTGTGCAGCTTCTCATTGCTGTGGCTTCTCTTGTTGTGGAATACAGGTTCTAGACACGTGGACTTCAGTAGCTGTGGCTCCTGGGCTCTAGGGCACAGGGTCAATAGTTGTGGTTCATGGGCTTAGCTGCTCCGTGGCACGCGGGATCTTCCTGGAACAGGAATTGAACCCATGTCTCCTGCATTGGCAGGTGAATTCTTTACCACTGAGCCACCAGGGAAGCCCCCAGATTCTGTTTGACCAGAGGTTGGTATACACTGTTATTCTTAGCCACCACCTAGGATTCTTGATGTTACAGTTTTACTCTTGGGCATTTATTCCCATTGATTGCAATTTGAAGCTTGAATGACTGTCTGATATGCCCAAATTTCTTTATATCTTTCAGGCAAAGACTGCCACCCAAGAATGTCTACTACTACCGCTGCCCAGACCATAGGAAGAATTATGTGATGTCTTTTGCATTTTGTTTTGACCGAGAAGAAGATACTTACCAATTTGCTTACTGCTACCCTTATACATACACTCGCTTTCAGCATTACCTTGACAGCCTGCAAAAGAGAAACATGGATTACTTCTTCCGTGAGCAGCTGGGTCAGAGCGTGGTAAGGTCCACTGGGGAATAGGTGGTTTGGGGGAGAGCTTAGCAGCAGTTTTTATAGAATGCAAATAATAGATATTGGTGCTTCGTAGACTATATGCTCTGAAACTTTTAAAAATCATTGTTTTTTGTGTGTAATATTTTGATACCTTGGCTACAAGTAAGTCATAGAATAGGATAAAGCAGATGCATGTCCTTCTGAATGAGGCTGATAAATCTTCTCTAACAAAATATAGACGTTCTGGAGAATCCCCAAAAAGTCTGAGGGAAAAAAGAAGGTTTCTACTAGGTATTGCAAAAGGTGTGAAAGCATTTATGAGTCTAAGCTTATGAGATGAAGAGTAAATTTGCTTTTTAGTGAATTCAATTTGCCTGCAATACAGATTAGCAGGTGGTGTGCAGTATGGTTTTGCTGTCCATAGTGTGTTCATCTCTGTCACTCATTAGGTCCCCAGCCCTTCCCCCTTCCCAGGTTTAGTTCTCTAGGTCTGGAGATTTCGGTCTTACATTCTATATTAGTTTCCTATTGCTGACATAACAAATTGCATGGACTTGGTGGCTTAAAACAACATAAATATATTATCTTACAGTTCAGGAGAAGTCTGAAGTTGGCCTCTCCGGGCTAAAATCAAGGTATCAGCAAGATCTTTAAATCACAGCTGTAAAGCCCCCTTTGTCCTGTGAGGTAGCATGTTCACAGTTTCCAAGGATTAAAACTTGGGCATTTGGGCAAAGGGGGTGCATTGTTCTTCCTGCCACAGCTTCCTATTCTCTTTTCCTCTTCTTTTTCCTTTGCCCACCCTCAAAGTGTTCCAAAAAGATATAAAAGTACTCTTCATATCAGAGGCATAAACTTTGTTTCCCATGGTCATCAGTACTTCCTTCAGTTGCTAATAAAGAATATCTTCCCTCTACTCTAACCCTCTTCCTAACAGTGCTTCTGATGGGTGCCATGTATATTTGGTGCCTATATCTTTTGAACTGAGAACTGGGACACATGGTGTATCAGTCAGCCTGCTAGCAGGAAACAGATGGCAGCTTCACATTAGGATAATTTGAGAAGAGCTTAATAAATGGGCTATTTACAAGGTGTGGGCACTGCGTACAGAAACCATGGGGTATAGTGCAGTTCCCTGGGGCTAGTAACAGCACAAAGGAACTGAAGGGAGGGAATGGTAACCAGAACCCAATAGTAGAGAGTCATGCAGTGGGCAACCTTGAGTGGAACAGTGACCTTCAGTTGAGGAACAAAGTTAGCCTGAGATGACCCCACAGGGAAGGAGCTGAGAAAAATAAATACAGAGAACTCATTTTTTTTTACTTCCCTCTGATCTTCTGCCAGGGGTTCCTATTGACCAGCCCAATTGGAAATTAGAGGGCAAGAGACCACTGAAGTAATCCATACAGACAAAGTCTTCCTGAACAAAGAAAACGGTGAAGAAAGGCAGAGAGTGGTTGTAGAGAGCCAAATAGAACATATTAGGTACATATGGTCTGATCAACAATGTATTACTGGAAATCGTGAGATTATTTGAGATGGGACTGTTGGAGAAATCCTGAGATGAATGTTTGGCACACATATAACTTATCATGTAAATTAAGAGCAAGAGAGTTTCATTCAATACTGTGACTTTTAAGGGCAGGATCTATTTGTTTCAGGCTTCCCTGGTGGCTCAGATGGTAAAGTATCTGCCTACAATGCAGGAGACCCAGGTTCAATCCCTAAGTTGGGAAGAGCCCCTGGAGAAGAGAATGGCTACCCACTCCAGTATTCTTGTCTGGAGAATCCCATGGACAGAGGAGCCTGGCAGGCTACAGGCCATGGGGTTGCAAAGAGTCAGATGCCACTGAGCGACTCACACTTCATTTGGTTCATTCCATTCCAATGTCCATTTCAGCACCCTCTTAGATTTATGCCAGGCAGAATCCAGGTGCACATTGAATGACTATGTAGTAAATTACTGAATGAATGAATGAAGATATGTCTAGAGACAATGTGAAGAGCCAAGAGCATCAGAAAGCTGATAGGAGGAATAATAGGATAAGTTAAGCTTTCAATAACAAATACAAAAAATGAGTATCTAAAACAACAGCACTTTAAACAAGGTAGAAGTTTATATCTCTTCCATATACAAGTCTAGATGCAGGAAATCCAGAGCTGATGGTGTGGCTCTGCTCCTGAAAACTATTGGAGTCAAATTCTTTCAGCTTTCTGCTGCTCTCCCTAGAATGTGCCTCTCAATCTCATTGTCAAATGTGGAAATTCTACAAGCATTTCCATGTTCCAGGAGGCATGATGAAGAAAGTATGGGGAGAAGGGAGAAGATGCAGTTCTTGGCACTTTCATGTTTATCCCATTCAATAGAACTCATATCCACACTTAACTAAAGGATGGATGAGAAATCAAGTCTTCATCCTGGGTGACTGTGTTTCTAGCTGAAAATTAGTAGTCCTATAGATATGGAAGATAAGGATAGAGAGGAAGATTGGGACCAAGCTCTGGTAAACTTTGATTATCAAATTAAGGAATTATGGCTGTATCCTTTATTCAGATTCAACACACAGACACTGGGTCAGGCACTTTATGTACACTATCTTACTTGCTTTTTGCAACAGTTTTGTGGGGTAGGCAGGATTATATCAGTTTTGGAAAAATAGCCTAAGGCTAACTGGATAAGTTACTTGGCTAAAGCTAAATGACTACTTCGTGACTAGGCCAACATTAAACCCATGGCTTCTGATGCCATACCCCGACACTTCGATGGACTCACTGCTGCTTTTCACATTGTACCTACTGAAACCCATAGCAGATTTTGAGAAAGTGATTGTAGTTTGTCCGAAGATACATCTTAAGAAAGTAGTTAGTGGAAGTGCAGGGTGTGCCACTGCTGGCTAAACTAGATTAGGGAATCTCTGTGGCTTGGTTCAGTCCCACTGAATTGGGTCTCGAAGCAGATTCCAGACTTCAAGGCTTTCTGGTGTAGTTTGTAGGCAGGACAATTCTTGGTTACTAGGGCGTTTGATACGGCTCGTGTCTGAAGACACCACTATAATTAGTTAATCCTTATTCCAATTTGGAGGGAGGATAATTACAAGTAGAAAGCTAAATATGTCAACAGATAATTCTTAGAAAGCGCATGAAGGAAGCAAGATTTTGAATTTCTAGTGCTGAAACTATTAATCACCATGGGCATGGCTGCTATTGCTACTAATTGTATCATTCAGAGGGCTTCCTTGGTGGCTCAGTGGCAAAGAATCCATCTGCCAGTGCAGGTTGCATGGGTTCAATCCCTGGGTTAGAAAGAGCCCCTGGAGAAGGAAATGGCAACCCTCTCCAGTATTCTTGCTTGGGAAATCTCATGGATGGAGGAGCCTAGCGGGCCACAGTCCATGGGGTCACAAAGAGTTGGACACAACTTAGTGACTAAACAACAACAGATCATCCAAAATGGCATTTTATTTTGTTACTCACCAGTGGCCTTTTCTAACCACACCAAAAAAATTGCTTTGTGCATGCACCAAATCCACAATCTGACATTTAAGTTAAGCACATCATAGGAAAAATCTTTATTTTCTCATGTTTTAACACTTCTGTTGAGGTACAATTTACATACTATAACATTAACACACTGTAAGGGTACAATTCTATGATTTTTAGTGAATCTATAGAGTTTTACAGCTATCACTACAGTCTAATTTTAGAATGTTTCCATCAACCCCGAAATTTCTTTTGTAAATCCTCACTTCTGCTCCCATCCACAGGAAACTATTTATTTGCTCTCTGACACTATGAATTTGCCATTTCTGAATATTTCCTGTAAATAGAATAATACATTATTTAGTTGTCCTTTGAATTCAGCTCCTTTTATGTAGCATTAGATTTTTGAAGTTTGGTTCATCCATGTTGTAGCATCTATCAGTAGTTCATTTTTAGTGCTGAATAATATTCTATTGAAAAAGTATAACAAAATTTGTCTATCTATTCTCTGGTTAATGGACGTTTGGATTGTTTCCTTTGGGGCTAAAATGAATAATTTTATTGTGAACATTCATATGCATATCTTTGAATGGACATGTGATCACTTTTCTCTTGGGTAGATTTCTAGGAATTGAATCATTGGGTCATACAAGTCCACATGCAACTTAAAACAAAAACCCAAAACTGTCACAAGGTATTCCAAGTTAGTAGTGCCATTTTGCAGTCCTGCTAATAATGTCGGAGAGATGGTTTAGTTTCTCCATGTGCTTTCTGACAATTGGAATTACCTATATTTTTCAGTATAGCCGTTTTAGTGGGAATGTAGTTGTGTCTCTTTGTGGTTTTAATTTGTGTTGCCCTGGTAACTACCTATGATGATTATCTTATGTGCTTGTTTGGCCTTTATATGTCTTCTCTGATGGAATGTTATTTGCATTTTCTATCCATTTTTAGAAAAATTGGTTTCTGTTCTTACAGTGAGTTGTGAGAGTTCTTCATGTGTTGTGAATATAATTCCTTTGTCAGATACATGCTTTATCAATATTCCCCTTAATCCATACCTTATCTTTTCACTCATTTTCTTAACCATGTCCTTTGAGGGATAGAAGTTGTTAACTTTTGAAGTCCAACTTATTTCTTCTCTTATGGATCATGTTTTGGGAGTCTTATCTAAAAGCTGCCTATCTGAAGGCCACAGAAATTCTCTCCTCTGTCTTCTTCTAAATTTTTCATAATTTTCACTTACATTTAAATCCATGATCCATTTTGAATTAACGTTTTATATATGGCATGAGGCAAGGGCCTTAAGTTCATTTTTCTTTTGGCATATGGATATTTAATTGTTGCAGCACCACTTGTTGAAAAGACTAGCATTTACCCAACTCGCAGAGACTGAGCCAGAACTGTGTCTGAGTGTCTCCTGTGGAGGTGCGGGTCAGCAGTAGCCTGCTGCAGGGGCCCTGGGTGCAACAGATCTGGGTATGGCATAAGCCCTCTTGGAGGAGGTCGCCAATAACCCAACCATAGAACCACAAGAACTTACACAGGACCAGGGAAACAGACTCTTGGAGTGCACAAATAAAGGCTTGTATGCACCAGGACCCAGGAGAAACAAACAATGACCCCACAAAAAACTGACCCAGACATGCCCATGAGTGTCCAGGAGTCTCTGGCAGAGGCATGGGTTGGCGGTGGCCTGCTTCAGGGTTGGAGGCAAAGCAGTGCATGCCTGGGACCTTTTGAAGGAGGTTGCTGTTATCTTCACTACCTCCACCAGTTTGGCCTCAGGTCAAGCAACAGGGAGGTAACATAGCCCCGCCAATCAACAGAAAATTGGATTAAAGATTTACTGAACACAGCCCCACCCATCAGAACAAGACCTAGTTTCCCCCTTAGTCAGTCTCTCCCATGAGGAAGCTTCTATAAGCTCCTTATCCTTCACCTTCAGAGGGCTGACAGAATGAAAGACACAATCACAGAAAACTAAACAAACTGATCATGTGGACCACACCCTTGTCTAGCTCAATGAAAATATGAGTCATGCCATGTAGGGTCACCCAAGATGCATGGGTCATGGCCGAGAATTCTGACAAAACATGGTCCACTGGAGAAGGAAATGGGAAGCCACTTCAGTATTCTTGCCTTGAGGATCCCTTGAACAGCATGAAAAAGCAAAAAGTTATGACACTGAAAGATGAAATCCCCAGTTTGGTAGGTGCCCAATATGCTACTGGAAAGAGTGGAGAAATAACTCCAGAAAGAATAAAGAGGCAGAGCCAAAGCAAAAACAACACCCACTTGTGGATGTGACTGGTGATGGAAGTAAAGTCTGATGCTGTGAAGAGCAATATGCATAGGAACCTGGAATGTTAGATCCATGAATCAAGGCAAATTGGAAGTGGTCAAACAGGAGATGGCAAGAGTGAACATTGACATTTTAGGAATCAGCGAACTAAAATGACTGGAATGTGTGAACTTAACTCAGATGACCATGATATCTACTACTGTGCTTGAGAATCCCGTAGAAGAAATGGAGTAGCCATCATAGTCAACAAAAGACTCTGAAATGCAGTATGTGGATGCAATCTCAAAAATGACAGAATGATCTATGTTCATTTCCAAGGCAGATCATTCAATATCATAGTAATCCAAGTCTATGCCCTGACCAGTAATGCTGAAGAAGATGAACGGCTTTATGAAGACCTATAAGACCTTCTAGAACTAACACCCAAAAAAGATGTTGCTTCATTGTACAGGACTGGAATGAAAAAGTAGGAAGTCAAGAGTTACTTGTAGTAACAGGCAAATTTGGCCATGGAGTACAAAATGAAGCAGCTCAAAGGCTAACAGAGTTTTGACAAGAGAATGCGCTGGTCATAGGAAACACCCTCTTCCAACAACACAAGAGAAGACTCTACACACCAGACATCATCAGATGGTCAACACCAAAATAAGATTGATTATATTCTTTG